AACGTATTGCTGACTAACGTTTATCTTGTATCCCCCCAACGAAATGTGATTTCAGGGACAAGTAACCAACTTCACTTTCAACAACTGCCGAGTTATTGATTCTAATTTAGAGAAATGTTAGTCGCTGGTTATAAAGAGCCTCGATCAATCGAGCTAAAACTTTGTTGGTTATTGTGAATAAGTGTTTTTCTGAACCATCTATCTCTGTATTCATCCAGTTTTCATTCAGCATGAAACGTGTCTCAAAACCGTGTTAAACTGTTTCTGTCCGGTGGCAGAGACTTGCATAGTTTAACGCTGTGATCTGAGGCATATATGAGACTTGAAACTGTACATATTAGAGAGCGCAGTCGCTTGGGCGACGGGAACTTCATTTGGTCGGTTGCATCAGAGGTATAAAAGATAATCCATAAGGATCACAAGACCACTCCAGAGTGGTCAATATAGAGAGGTGCTCATTTTGGCGAGTCGGACTGTGGATGGATTTCAGTGTGATTAGCACAATGAGTACTTTCATGCAAAGTTTCCACCACTGACTTCTTGTACAAATACTTCATCGAACCTAGAAACATCGATATCCCTGTTTCCTATATCCGAGTAAGCCAAATGGGCTCAGGCGTGTCACTTAGGCAACTGGACCTCTAAAAAAACCGGAGTGACTTTTCCGACTACGTCGTACGGGCTGTTGCTGCAAAGGGAAGCATTGGGAGAAATACAAACCACAATGCAACATAGATTAAGATCAGACCAACCAGAATCCAAGTAGGATGATTGTCAGTGACCAATCAGGTTATAGCGCGAAGGCTTTGTAAACTACATAGACGCAGACACGAAGAGAGGGACTAGCAAACCAACAACACACCGAAGATGCCTCCCCGAATGATGACGAAACGTTTGCAAATCAATTACCAAGCTGGGCGAACAGATGAACAGCCACCTGATCAGTTACCAACTAATGCACCCGGGCTACCAATATTCCAAAACGTTGGAAACGTTCCGCAGATAAGTGTCCAGCTGAGATATAACGTATAGAAGTACAGTAGCAGGTGCATTCTAATTACAGCAATAGGTGACTTTTTAAATGCCTGACAGATATCCGGCCAACAAAACCGTTGCACGCACAGTGTAAAATACAGCTAGCATTTTTCTGTGGTCAATAATAGTTCGCTACTTGTGTTCTTCAAAGTTAAGGACTTGCGAAAAGTCGCGTGGGCGACGGAACTGTTAGTAATGTGCTCACCTGTTTCACCACAAATGTAGAGGTTCTTAGTTTCGAAGCCTATTTTCTATATTTTTTGTCTTGCCAACGTTCTTCCTAATTTGCATCCACTAGTATTTTCACAGTTAATCACGTGGTTGTCAACTGATGGACGTTCCACGCTGAAATGCTCCTACTTTCTACAGTTGTCGAATGCTACTATGCAGTATCCACGGTCCCAGTAACACTGCTACAAAACGGCACCCCAAAACAGCATCGGTCTCCCTTGAATGAAAAAAGTCAGTGTTCAGGGAAACCTGGGGTTACGAGTCCACGAAACTGTTGTGTTCAGCAAAGGAACCGACAGCCAGGTGAGGCAGCTGGGAGTAAATGAACATAGGTTTGTCATTTTCTTGACGGAATACCCTACTTATACGGCTGCTGAAAACTCCTCAGCACCTGTATGGGCAATGTGCTCTGCCAAGAACATGTATTGCGATACCTCGAATAGAATCCCAACTAAAATACGAGGAGATCTCTGAGCAGTACATTCAGTTGGAAAATATAATAGACGGCAGATGAATTTGGAATTCAGCTGCGCCTCCCGGTAACACAACCTTAATTTGCAAATGATATTTTATTTTGCAAAGAAATCTGTAACGTTTTGCAATATGGCACCAGTTTGTGAGTGTGTAGATCGATGTGCAGCTCTGATAAATATTCGGGCATGAAGTGCTGGAGGGTCCACAAACACGCACCTGGTCCTTCCAGTTGGGTTTGTGTATTCCATATTCCACCTTGAGATCGCTTATGGACACAATTCGCAGTGACGTCTACGGGGTTTGCCCAACAGAAACACCCGGAGCTAAAAGTCCAGAAATATCGCCATTTCAATGAAATTCTAATCTAGAAAGCTGAAAAAGAGATTAAACGACTTTTGATTAGTTAAGAGTTAGGAGTGAGGAATATTTCAAAGATTTAGGATTGAAAACAACTTAATTATAGCTGTAGGAGATGAGTTCAGTAACGGTAACAAGCCGCGCAAGGTTGGTTTACGTTTTATAACCTCCGGGAAAATTTCTGACACGAGAACAAAGCATTTTAATGGATTAATCTTTCCAACAGAGATTACAATTGAGTACAAGTGAATTCTGGTCTAACCCACGCGCAGTATTATTGTCCTGCCTCGTAACCACGTTCTCACACCCTTTGCAAAACTAAATATTTCAAAGATTTAGGATTGAAAACAAATTAATTATAGCTGTAGGAGATGAGGAGTTCAGTAACGGTAACAAGCCCGTAGCGCAAGGTTTACGTTTTATAACCTCCGGGAAAATTTCTGACACGAGAACAAAGCATTTTAATGGATTAATCTTTCCAACAGAGATTACAATTGAGTACAAGTGAATTCTGGTCTAACCCACGCGCAGTATTATTGTCCTGCCTCGTAACCACGTTCTCACACCCTTTGCAAAACTATCTGTGGAGTTTTGCCAATTAGAAGTTGATACAGATGGCCCACATGATACTAAGGCAAAACAATAGAACCCAAAAGGTTAACTTAACAAGTCTTTATCAAAGGAAATTCGTCAGCAGCAGTAAGATCACATTTTGGGAGAAGCTGACATCCCTGCAATCGTTTACTACATTACTACTACTACTACCACTACTGTTATCATTTATTTTTGAAGAGTATGGTCACAAACATAAAAAGTGAGTGCAAGCGATGAATGCGAAAGAGTAACAGGAGAATATGGGAGAAAAGAGAGAAACGTCTCATTCGAGGTCATGCCAAGGGCAGTGCCAGTCTGATGAGGTGAATCCCAAAGTATGTAAAGATTTTGGTATGGGAACACGCGTCTAAAGACCAACAACCAAAGAAAGGACAAACAATGGTGAATGCGCTTCAAGGCGCAGTGTGCGCTAGCACAGTCAAGACTCGCACATCAGGCACAAAGTGACCGTCATACTGGGTCTGGTGTGAGAATAAATGGCAAAAATGTACCTTCAACGCCATGTGCCACGCATAAAAGTGTCATAAGTACGCAGGGAGCCCACAATGGCAAGCAAACACAAGTCACTGACTGCGACCTTAGGAAGTCCCAGTCCAATAACAGCCTTAGCGGATTGAGGAAAGCAGATCCCTCGATAAGAGATGATCATCGGTTGGTGAACCAAAAAGTCGATATCCCAACCGATGGCATGTAGGGCTGAGATTATGGTGAGGGAATGTTCATCAGCACCATACTTCTGCTTCTTCTCATTCCACACTATCACTCCACGCCCATCCGAGACTATGCTGACGTCTATTACAGTTGCACGGCGATCTCGAACAGCGATTAGGTCAGGTTTGATGAACGACGTAGAAGTAGGGGCTCTCAACTCCTCGAAGACGGTGTACCCCAGTCGACGGAGACAGTTTTGTTACTGATACCAGCTGGCAATAATTTTCTTGTGACCCCTTCATACAACAGGCGTTTTGCCATGTGGTTCCAGTGGCAGCTTGAGCGTGTTTACTGGCTATTGTTCTGGGGAGTTCTGTTCTGCTAGAAGAGCAAGTAGCTTGCAAAGCCTTCGAGAAGAAACAAGATTACGTCATTGGTTGATTACCTAATACTTGCGTTTCAATAGTTTGCAAATACAACCTGATGATGACCGATGTGACTGTCTAATTGAAAATAAGCTTTATCAAAACCTCAGTGATCAGTTTGCTGTCTGTATTACGTCGTGGTCTGTATTCACCACACAGGATTCGCCACCGTGATAATTTTGATTTTTGATGGTGTCACTGACTATAATGGTCAGTCCTCACTTTTTTGGCATTGGTGTTTAAATTGATTGGACATGACTGACCAACTTCGCTTTCTCGTTTGACTCTACTTCTTGGGCTTGGCGATCCCTTGTCGTCTGCTTGGCCCATTGACACCCTTTTTCGGAGTGTTCTTCCTTTTCTGTAAGCTTAGGTCACTTAATTTATTGATTGGATGCACTTTTAGCCGCACTGGTTAATATTTTAGTTATGAATCCCCTCGTCTTTTCAGCATGAGTCTACTGCGGTTTCTTGTCCCAATAAACACGTCACCGCGGCACCACCGGTGGCAAGAGGAGGCAAATAAGTGCGGTGGGAAAAACTAGTTGGATGGTAGATTTGAGATCGATGCTGAGCGTACGGATAATCGGGGCGGCTTCAGCTGTGTGCAGATCATTATCTGTCCTTGGTCAGTACGAATGTTCACACCGAGTTACTTGGAAGCCGCTTACCACAAGACAGTTGTGGACTCGATTGGACCATATGGCTATCAGTTACCTATGGAGTCTCAGTTAGGGATTGTTGTTCCCTCTGGGGTACGCAAACTTGACTCTGATCATGGCATCGCTTTCCACCAGCACTACGCTTGTCGAGTGAGAGCAGTTCCGTTCACCAACTTCGACAAGTTTCAGTAACTGAGGAGTATCGAACTTATCTGGTTAGAAAGCTGCTGGAAACGCACAGTCAGTGTTTGGAGATTGAATGGAGGCGAGCTAAAGAAGCAATGCTGTTAGCCTTCAGAACTGTTTGTCCAGTCCATCTGACTTGACTCAGTGAAGACTAGATATCTTCAAGATCAGCAGATCTTATTGCTGCCAGAAAGCCCATGCCAGCAACGGGCACATATGTTGGCGCACGCAGATCCCTCAAACACCAGCTAATCAGGAAGTTGCGGAATAACAGAGAACGCTGGTGGATTTCGAAGGCCCGGGAGATGGAAAAGGCATTGCTTCAGGCGACAGCCGCGCTCTGTTTCAACTGATCCGATCAAAGGTTCAAAAGAAGGGAGTTGTTAGTGAGACAATATGCGAAAAGGGCGGAACAGCAATTCACTCCCTCAATCGCCGTCTTGTGCGGTGGGCTGAGCACTTCCAAGAACAGTCCACCTGGTCACCTTCAACACAACCGCTGGAAGAACAAAGACAGAACATTGTCAACAACCCACCGTCAGCAGCCGAAATCCAGCGTGAGATTTCAATCTTGAAGCGCGATAAGGATGGTCTACATCCCGCGCTCTTCAAAGAAGGTGGGGACCCAGTAAACACGTCACCGCCGCACCACCGGTGGCAAATAGGGGTGGCATGTTACGCTTGCCACCGGTGGCTAAAAGCGGCCAAAGGTAGCAACCCAAAAGTTTCGTGATATATTTAATCGGTGGTGCATTCAAATAAATCGGTTTCAAAAATTACTTCGTAACATCAGTGGCAAAGCTAGCCACCTTTGGCCACCGTTAGCCACCGGTGGCACTGTGTTTACTGGGTGTACTATCTCGAACTTGCAGTCCTGGCGGTCACTTACTTTCATCGTTTGGTAGGTCGGGCAGATTTCCATATGCATGTTGATTTTTTCGATAAAGCACCGTTTATCCATTACTTCACAATTTTTTGTTCTGGCTTGGGCTAGCACTTTGTTCTATTATAATTCAGAGTTACTGAAAAAGTTATGTTTCCGCTATTCTTAGTCAGGCCTCTGTACGTTCAAAGCCTATTCTGTCTTGCTTCATCATGCAACTTTGCACATCCCCAGTCACCAATCTAGCCATCTATCTGCCATTTAGCTCGACTGGCTCTCAGGCTTTTAGATGAATCAGTGGTGATCCGTAGGTTACATCGCGAGGAAGAAAGCATTTTTGCGGAAGTTCCCAGAGGAAGTGTAGCTGGTATCTTGCAGAGCTATTTTATCAGGCTTAACTGTCCAATCCACATACTGAGTGACGTTGTATGCACTATCCCGGCGATTATGCAATTCTGTTTTTTGAGTAGCGTGTAAAGTGACTCTCTGCTGTACAGCTTGCCATTTGTACACAACATATCAACTGGTTGCATCTTATGAAGAAAACACTACAGAGAGTGCCTTACATATCTCGGACGACCGTCTATCAGGCGATGATTCCGGGTTACAGCGATATTGTTTCTGCACTGGAAATAGCGCTTGTCACTCAGAGTGGCTTTATGCATTAACTTGGACACAAAATACGAGTATTACGTGCATTTCTATGGGTGTTCTCCCTGGTAAGGTGATCAAGAAGTCCGGAGGTAATCTCGATTTGGTGCTGCAGCTAACTCGCGTAATATCCGCTTTTTGACCACACAAACAAAGTGGATAAAAGAATCAGAATCTGCAGTTAAAACAGCAACGTACACTGCAACGATAAACTAAACAGATCAAGTATTTACTGTAAACAAAGCGAAAACCCAAGTTAGAAAGTAGCCACAGGCTTCAATCTGGGAAATAGTGTGCTGAACAGCAACTGAGGGATAAGCCGCATTAAACAGCACTGATGTATTGCTCGCCACTGAAGCTGAAGTCCTTCAGACCCTACTAACTAACTGATCAACGATCACTCAGACACTGCCACAGGCTTATGACTGTTCTAAGAATGCGTAGAAATCCTACGAAATTTACCTTACATCCAGTTATTTTATACAAAAAATGGGTGGCTGAAAGACAATGCCTATTATGGACAGACGGTTTCAGATGTTAACCAATGCTAGGTTAAATTCAAACAGACATGCGCAACGCCCACAGTTTACCTGATTGGCCAGTCTCAGTGGAACCCAAAGTCCTTTTATGTTTTCCCAAATAAACAAAGCTATGTGACCAGGTGTTCTCCAGTTACATGCTGAAAACACTGCAAAAAATAACTTATAAACTGATGAAATCAGCTTCTCAATCTATCGAATCCCAGAACATGGTCATAGTGCACAACAATGGACACGACAGCTTAACTTTGTTATTTAGGTGTATAAAAACCTACAGTGTTTAACACGTATATCTTTTGTTTCTGTCCTACTGGAAAATGTATGTGGGTTCCACTTGTGTGACACCTCATCATTTTCGATTTATTCACATTGCGACGGAAAAGTCTGATTGACTCGAAGTAAAATTTATTCAAAAGTAACTCACTACGGCTGCTGCGGCTGCCAACAATTTCAGTTGACACGCGGCCCCTTTTTCCCTGTTCCCATCTATACCTAGCGGCACTTCTCGTTTTGTCTTAAGACGAATTGGGCCTGCTCGTTTATCTTAACTTGGCAGGCACTCGGACGCTCTCCTGCACTTGGTTTCTTTCAACGGGATCGATTTGCATCATCGGNCACTTGGTTTCTTTCAACGGGATCGATTTCCATCATCGGTTACATAAGTGCGGAGATTCCAATCCTTCCAGATAGTTGAACGGTCAGCTATGTTTCTCTGCATGGTTGCGTAATCAATTTCTTCGACTGGAGCTTCCTACCGCGGTTAAACCGGTTATTTGGATGGAGCTAAACGGGTATCCTCCCGTACTACATTTAACGGTACCTGTATTTAGTTGCGGTTTCTCTTCTTCAGTTTTTCTGATTGATTCACACGGGGCTAATAGGTTTTGGTTGTTTGTCTATTTGCCGAGCTTAGCAGTTGGATTACAGAAGCTTCGTATCCAATACGAGCGACATCATCAGTGTGGGTTTGGGGGGAGGGTGGTAAATTCCTGTGTCTGCATGGTTTTTAAATCGTATCTGGTAGCCCAAACGCGATTGTTTGGTCATGAGGTCATGAGTCAATTTGAAACATGAGTTGAGTTATGGTCTCGGTTCTTTGTGTCCGGCTGTTTCGACGGTTGGTCTCAAATCTGTTCCCCTGTTATGATTGGTCCTTTTCCTTTTTTGGACCTCCTCTTGAGTAGTTGGCCGGAAAAATGTTTATTGGCAGCTTTCTTTGACTTACCTTGTTTTTTATTGTTGTTGGACCTAGTGGAACCTGGCGGAACGACATTTTGTCCAGCTTAGTTTGCAACGTGACTGCAACCACAAACTGGACTATGGCATCGTGGTAGCGACAAAAGTCAAGTGTGTTACTCCAACATGGATCGCATGGGATTTTCGCTCCTATGCATCAACCAAATTCACACTTGTATTGTGATTAAAAATTGCCTTCCACACTACTGATGCTAGTATTTCATCACAAGTTGTTGTTTTCTTATGTTGTCACTATCTGAAGGCGAAATGCGAACACGCACCGCTTTTTTGACATGCCAGGCTGTAATTCGGGGCGTTGGTCCAAGATGACACCATAACATGAGTTTTCGCGGACCGTGGCACGCTGGTGCGTTTTTTGGAGAAGCCAGTAAGTAAACAATGACAATATCGAATCATTGCCTATTTGCCTTGTTGACAAGCCTGCATATCTTTGATGCACAGCAAGCACAGTTAACTAGGAAACGGCAGGTGTCAATGACTAAACGATCAATTAGACACACAAAATTAGCTTCCGTGTGTCGGGACCGGTACCAGCTTTGCGGCCTCTTATACTGAACGACCGATAACAGGCCGTCCGTCATGTATATAAGTTGGCGGCACTACTGGACTTTCCTCTGGACAACCAGTCGCTATATGACTTTTGTGGACTTCCGGGTTTTCAACTCTCAACTTTGCCCCCCCATCCGGTTTAGCGGTTTCTTTGGACCACCGAGGAGCATGAGGACGACCTTGAAACTAGTTAGCTCATATCAACATTGCATGGCACACACACTTTCTCTGAAGATTCGACTCAACGATAAGTGAGTGTCGCAAACAGAAGGGTATTAAGAAATTTTTGTGAGCCATATAATTTTTAATTAGTTCAGTGCCACTGATCCAAGTGTGAGTAAAAACCCGGCCTGGTGGAACATGTGTTGGGGACTATGTTTATCCCTTTGAACTCTGCATCGTCTATGGACATATCTGACGTTGTTAATCAGCACCCGGCGAATGAAACTGACTACCTAGAACCCTTGGCGCTTTCTACGCTACTACTTAATATTTATAAATGCCCACGCATGCTACGTTTGTATGCGACTCCTTTGCTACTGAAGAGAATGCTGGTGAGTCAGGTAGGGTGAAAGGCCATCATTTATGTGTTCGTTGAATATGACAGTTTTATGGCAAGTGCTTCATCACCGCCGCTCAGTAGTCTCACCTTCGAATTGACTTCTCAAAAGCTACGACATTTTCAGGGTTGCCACCTCATAGTTTAGAATGTATATGTATAATGTATATGTTCGTATATTATACAAATTATCTGCACTTGTGATTTGTTCAAGTGTGCGAATCTTCAAGGTCAGTAAAAACCGCCTACTGGAAATACGTTGACTAATGTGACGGCAGCCGGGGCCCGTTGGCAGCACAATGCTCTTAAACGTTAAACCTTTGTAAATGGAATGAAATAGCTTGCGCTAAAATATTGTATTTTGTTTTGCATGAGCTCACACGAGAAGCCATCCTAATCTACGTTGATATTTTCGCAGCTCACTAAATTTTATTGTCCACTGAAGTAATCAGGCCCGTGGCGGAAGATGTCTGATGGCATACACTCCTAGCATTGCTGAGACCCCTGAATGCCCAGAGGGGGCTCAAACGTTTGTACTCGTACTTTGAACCCAACTGTGTTTTGGTCCATCAGTGGCATGTCGCATCCTTCAAAAATTCAATTCCATTCCATTGTGCGAATACTGAGAGCCTGGTAATCGATTTATGCACAATTCCAAATCATACAGTTGATTAGCTGGGCCGAGTTACGTGGTCCACACCCAAACATACGAATTCTTAGCCGCTTAACAGATGTTTCCGCCGGCTGCTGCTCGTGGCTCGATGGACCAATGGGGTTAGCTTGTGAGCGAAGAGAACGTGTTCGGGGTTCAACTCCGAGTGACGTCGTAAAATGTTTTCGACTCCCCCGTCAGAACGTTCCCTTGGGTGACACTACTGCTTTTGTTGACAGCCATATATAGCATAAAAATGCCGTTAAATAAGATGATGGCAACTTAAATTCTGAGTGAGATGTCTTGGATATCTAGGTTGTTAAGTTTCAATCCAGATTTCCGAGAACAAAGACGTCGAGTTCCTGCCAAACGTTTATTGGAATAAGTGATGTGGGTAATCAGAAAAGGTTACGTGAATAATAGACGCCAACGGAGGGTATCTTGAGGTACGTGGATGCGCTTCGTGATGTTTCACTTTACATTCATTTTACAAACGTCGAATTGTGCACATTGAACGCGGAGCGGCATAGATTTCGTGAAGTAAGTTCATTAACTTGTTTGGGACTATTTTCTCGTCTGCATTGGCGGTCTATCTTTTTCTTAATTCATGTGTTCTAACTGTTCAACTTGTTCTGTTCTTGGTGGCGCTTATTAGCCGCATAATGCTCTTAGCTGGAAAGCCCTCACGAGTGGAGTAAAACATCCCGCAAAAAATATTACATTTTGTTGCGAACGTGCCCGAATTAAAAACCATCCCAAGCTGCGCCAATATTTTTGGAGCACGCCTTGTCCACTGAAGCAAGCCTACCTGTGGCGGAAAAGTCTGGCGGAATAATTTCTCAGCATCGCCGAGACCCCGGGATATCTGAAGGGTGCTCGAAAGTTTGGACTGGTGCTCTGGACTCAGTTGTCCATCGGGGAAACGTCGTAGTCTTCGAAAATTCAACTCCATAGTGCAAATACTGAGCGCCATACATGGCCGCGCCCTCGATGCACAATGCATTTTTCTGCAAAACCTCTGTGGATGAAATAAAATCTTTAACGTCAAATATTGCACTTCTTTCCATATGTGCTCAGTCCAAAAATCACCCTCATCTGCCGTCACATTTTCTTGAGCACAATCACAGGAGTGTCTGTGCGACCGGCTTCCAGTTATTCGACGCCAAACCGAAGACGAGTTGGGCACATGCAAGGCCCATCTGAAATATGGAACGCCCTCATGTGAGGTGCACAGTTTGTGGCGGATGAATTCGGCAAGATTCCCACCATTAAGAATATACGCAACTTCTGCCGGGAGTATCGACCGGCTTTATTGAGTAGGTACCGCATGGTTGGGTTTTATTGTGGCGGATGATGTACCTCTGGTCCTGGTAAAACTTTGGAACGCCAGGCGCGTCCTTGTATGCCGGTTAAAGGAAGGTCACTATATTCACTTATGCTTCTCCCGATGGCAGCAGATAGCG